GTGGACTGAGTTTAGACATACCCCGTCCAATCGGGGACATTTAATGGACAAAACACCAATAATCTCGTTGGGTTTCCTATGGAGTGTGAATGGTTGGATTCACTTGAAGTTACAGCGGGTTCTCTTGAAGTTTCAAAGGTATGGATGCGTTGTGATGATACACCGACGTCCCGCTCATGGGAACGGTTGAAATCATCTGTAACTATATCGATGACGGTGGAATCGATATAACGTACCGGTAGGAAAAATAAAAAAATGCTCCGGAACTGCACTTTCGATGTTCAGTTTCTGTTTAAAATCAGAGGACTGTTTTTGTTACGGCCTCTGCACTAGATTTGATACTAGCGAACGTGTTCATGTCCACACTACAGAACTCATTCATGAAATCCGAAGTTAGAAACATGGAATAGTATAAGCAATGGGTCGACGCTAATTTTACATACCCGACAAAAACAACGGCCTGAACCACATCACGTAAACGTTTCACAAGGTTCACCAGCCCAAATTTTTCACTCTGGAAGTACAGAAGGACAATACGCTAGCGTTCCTTGACGTAGCACAAGACAAAAAACGGACTGCTTGAAGNTTTATACTGAAAAGAAACATGAACGGTGGAGGCGTGCTGCGAGAGAACTTGTTTGCCGTGCGTATTCACAAGCTCATCAGTAATGTGAACATCAAATAGAGAGAGATTTTATCTAGGCTGGCCTCATCTAAACTTGTCTATTCTTTCAGCAATGTTTGTTACGCAGCCTACATTGGCCGAACAGTAAGGCAACTGTCCCAGTGAATTCACGAGCACTGTTCATATTGGTTTCAACACGGTGGAGAAAGTGTCACATGAAGCACTATTCTCANGCAGACTCAGGTCACCAAGGGAAGCAAGAATCAGTCTTCAAATATATGTATCTAGGACCACCTCACCCATCCAAATCGTTACGTTGCCACACCCTGACCACTGTAAAAACGATAGGTATTCGTTTGTTTACACCCAAAACGTTTAGCCCATCTTATTCAACTGCCGTGACCGAAGATCAATCACCCGGATGAAGCAACACAACCTGATTGCAGTGTTGTGAATAAATAGTGGCGTGAAACAAGTCGTACCACTTACCCCCAACCCAACTCCCTCCAACTAATCACTGTAATTTTTGAATGACTGAATGTCCATTCTCGTTTAACATATCAATTCCCTATATAATCTGTAAAGATTATAGAAGATAATTCAACGACAATAACTGTTTGCCTCTGAACGTATGTTCTAATGTCGTAATGGGAAATTCAACCCGCCATGGGAGCTATCGCGTTCATCTCACATTTAAATCATCGATTGCTTGACGTCTGTTAACGGTGAAACACATTGTTCAGGTATTTTGTAGAGCCTCAAATACACGATTTTCTTCCTGGTATAAGACGACGGGTGTTGCACTGAGAAAGGTCGCGATATACTGACATTTGACCAAACGTAGCCGGCCCAACAAAATTGTATTGTTCTTTTTTTCTTTTTTAGGAGAAATCCAGTAAAATCATATATCACTTTATCACAACATCCGCATTGATCTAGTAATTAAATGGAAGGTTCAAAATGAATGATTGACTTGATGCAAGTCAACTCAATTCAAGAATTGCTCACTACACTCTAGTTTGTGAAGTTAAAGTGTGAGCCCGAAATTCCAGTGAAGCAATAGATGATTTCGTTTAAAAGCGATGAAAAACTAATAATCAAGCTAACTGAAAAGCAGGCCATAATGCGTTTTCCTAAGATGCGCAATAAATAAGGAATTATGTGGATACCCGGGCTCGAAGAGTTGGGAGTGGGTATGGCAGTTCGAGACAGGTCTAAGGATTTCATTGTGTAAGCAGTAGTTTGCATTAGCCGGAAAACGTTTGGTAAACTAGTCACATACACCAAACTGCTTGGGACCAATGAAATTAACGAGACGATTATGGAAAATACTTATGGATCTTTATAGGATCTTCATTCTTACCACAGTTAGATCCCCAGACAGAGTAAGAATAGTTTCAAGCTGTTGGATACCCTTTTCGTGTGAGCAAATTTGAGCACTGAATCAGTTAACCATTTATTAGATAACGATCAGCCATCAATGTTGGTCTGAGACAAAAAGTGATGTCATCGTTTTTAAGAAACCAGTTAACCGTTCTCGATTGGACCGGAATGCTGTTTTTGTTGCACATACAATGCAACCGTTCCACTTAACTAATCATTGCTGTTTCCGCTCTCTCCCGTTCTTTTTGTTGTGTTTTCCTCTCCCTATTCATTAGCAATTTGCACGATGTCTGTCTCAAATCACTCGGGGCACGGAACTGGAAAAAATTGATTGGATATTTGAATTGTATGATCTGAACGGTGATGGCTATATCACTCGGGCGGAAGTCCATGAGGTGGCCACGGCTATTTTTGACCTTCTACGTCCTAAGTCGGAAACGTGTCGAGAGTTGAATACGGTTGAAGAACGAGTGAATACGATGATGGAGGTAAAGTATGAGTTGGTGTATATTTATTTCCGTGTTCCAGTTATTGTTCGGTCAGTGTGTGGTTGAGGTATAAAGGGTATTGAAACAGTATCAAGTGGGCATCTTTTACATTCATCGAGTCAATTGAATCTTCCAAACAGATTTACATCAAGCATATATTGGGTTTCGTTAACGTACAATGGTTTGAAAAAAGTATGAACTGTATGAAAGCGAAGTGGATTTTGCACCGTATAGGAACTTTTTCTGTAAAAGATGATCCGTAGATCACTTCTTTCATGTTTTGTGTGATAGGAGTTACAAACATCTAGGGTTCTCTTTGAACGTTCGGGCGTTTTTACCCACAGATTCACATATACAGACTATTTCTGTTTCTTATATTGCGTCTTTGTATGGTTTAGACTGACCAACCCTCAGAATTCATCTTCATGCACAACCCACGATTCCTCCAGTAAACCATACTGTCGGAAACTCTAGACTCGAGTTTCGCTCTTTTTAGAGCTCATCGGTAATACATCAGTAGTGTATCCGATGAATCATGAGTTGAAAGCCTAAACAGAACGGTGAAAACTTACTACTAATTGACACCAATGAAACCTAAACTAGAGTCCAGTGCTTCCTACTGTATGACTTAATGGAGTAACTGAGGAATCTATGCACAGATGAAGAAAAAGAGAACGTTATTTTTTTAACCATCCATATGGTTTCTTAGCTGGTGTCTGCTTATGAATAAAAATGGCAGCCTGTTAGAGATAGGCACGCATCGGATGCTAAACCATATAGGAATATTGCTTAATTTTTCGGTGACCTGATAACAGGGAATAGGCAGAGACGATTGCTGACTCTTCGTTCTGGAAAAGTACGAGTCCAAACACAGCTCAGTACCTTGTTTTCTTCCACAATACCTCTGCAAACAATGGTGTCTAAAATTGGTTCCTATAATTGTTACCCCAAAACAGCCAGCCTGTTAGTTTAACTAAGAGGCTCGCCTTCAATGGTCATCAATAAGAACAAATATATTATTTATCTCCTTTACTGAAGTTGTCATTGGATATTCAGCTAAAAAAGAAGGAACGTTCAAAAAAAAGGCTTAAAATAGGACGTAGGAATGAAGAAAATTTAGGTGTTATTGCTGATTATGTTGGCATTTCAACAGGGATTATCCGAGGGATGTGACTTTGACCTGTACTAATTGAGCATCGCCAAAGACAACAGTACAGTTTGGCTCAACTGCATCAGTTCATTCACCCTGGATTTTTCGGGTCCTAGTCAACCAATTGAACTTTGAAGACTTTAATCATTCTCACTGACTATTTTCGTAGAGGAAATGAAACTACATTTTTCGGGCAACAATTATCGAGAGGGTATTGTTGAAATCAATTTAGATAAAAAAAAATAACTCAATCGTTTTCTAAGGGACTGAGGGGGAGAGGACGCGTATGTGTAGCTCTTTTGACAAATGTAAAACACAATAACTCCATTTAGCGGTCGATTAATGGCATTCTTTGTTCATTCCTTCATGTAACACGTTTGGTTTTTTCAGTATACAATAATCAGTGCCTCCCATCTTGTATTCATCTCTGTTCTGTAATTCACAACTCAATATTATTCACATTTTATCAAAACGAAGCTTGAAAAAAACTATGGAAAGTATAGAGTTCAAATGAGGACCATCTTCACGCAACTAGTTTGTGATGCCGTTCTGTTTGGAAACAATGGTAGAAATTCATTCCACCGGAAGAATCAGCAAAAATTCACGGTCCCAAAGACTATTCTGCTCCTAATCGGTTCGGTATGCAGACTAGCTTACTCAGCTCGTTCTCTGCAATCCTGGTAGAATTTGACTACAAGGTTAAATTGCAATTAGCCTATGATGAATATAATTCCTGGTACGAATACACCAAATCGGTATTACCAAGGGTTTCATAAATTTTTCCGGTAGAAATTCCGTTATATCTAATCAGTTGCTAATGTTGGTGGAGAGAATGAAATCATTTTCGTTAACATTTCGGATAACTCAGGGTTTAAAACAATTTATTTTCAGGTTTAAACACTATTGCCCGATTGAACTCTACACCTATCCTTATGCGGATCCACACTGGACACCATTTACGTCCCAAGACCATCGTTGTGCGACTTTCGTAAAACCAATATGAAAATCCTCGAGAGTACTGAGCTATTTATCAAACTATAGGTGGATAACTCTCAGTCAGGCGGCGTTTCGTGTCACGGGTTACTAGTAAACTTACTCCCTCTCTCTCTCTGTTTCTCTCGGCCTAAATGGAAACAGCACTGAATGAATTATTGAACCGTGAATTGCATGTGGTTATTTTAATCTCGTCTAGACCCCAGTGGTCTAGTTTTGCTCCACACCTGTCACTCAACCTCACGCGGGATACGCAAACGTGCATTAAGGCATGCATGTTTGTTTGTCTATCTCTCAGCCCCATATCGATATTACCCGTGAATGACAGTTGCTCTTGGTAGCTGCTGCCCCGTCATCCTTATATGGAATTCAGCCGTATCCATTAGATTATTTTATTTCTGTTACATTCGAGTAATATTTGAACAGGAGCTCAATTATTGATTTTGCATTCATATTCAATAACTCTCTTTGCTGTAACTGTCATTGAAATCGTATTGATCTCGGTGACAGCGATTTGATTGATGAGAACTATCCTGTGCCGCGAAAGGTGGTTCACATCTTTACCGGAAGTAAAGCGAGTTTGCATTTTTACGGATGTTCGCTGCCATTATTGTCTAAAACCGGTGGTGCACAAATATCGTAATGCGCGCATTAGTTAAACATGATAGTCCTTGGGTTATATACTAGGAACAAGACAGTCAGCTCGGGGTAACAGACAACAAAGGTTAAAACCTGCATCAGGTGGGATTTCCATGCTCTACCCCCCATGTCAATCCTTGTATTTGCTCGTTGTTCACTCGGAGTGATAGGGCGAAACGGTTTTAGGAGAGCTTGATTCCGTCTGTCGGAGTTGGTGTCAACAAATGAATACCATTATTACCCAGTTATTGATGTACATGCGGGGTAGGGCTCAAACTGAGCTTTAACGTAGGGCAATGATACCACTAACGTCCCGCTCATTACAGTTTTAATAAAAGGTGAGAAGAGAAGTAGGGAAAGATACAGGGGCAGCAAATTGATTTTTCAGAAATAGTGTCTATGAAAAAGAAAGCTTGGTGGAATTGCGCTCAGACGTTCTGAGATGTTTCGCATTGGTTACAATTCTTTCCTCACTCAATTTATGATGAGAAATGTCTTGTAGTTAGAAGGATTTGGTGTTTCCCCTTCAATCGTTTGCTCGTGACAACTGGTCGCAAAAGCAATTCCCATTTTATCACGCTTTTTCCTCAATGCTAGGACTATATTATAATTACCGTTCATTCAGACCTAAACGAATTCCATGTGTTTTCGGTCAATGACTCGATGACTCGATGCCAAGGTTTTGCACCTGATTTTATTTAGGTATGGAATGCTTTTAAATGTGATGGTTATGTCCAGGGAGCTGGGCGCATCGCTGCCTCTCGTAAATGTGCAAAACACACTGGTTCGTTCAACTTACTCACTGTTCTCGAAGAGACAATATCCGACATTTCACTGTTTGGGTCATCCCACAACGTTTCGGCAACTTCGAAGTTATTGGTATTGAGATTCGTCTGTTGGAGTCTTTGTAATAATTGACTGACTCGACCACTGCTGTTTGTCACGAAAAACGAACTGCTTCAGGTGAGAGAGTCGTGGAATTTTAATGGCAGTGGAATCCCCTGTTCTGAGATGATCGTACACTTGTACAATGTGGTGAGTTGAAGATTGCGGTGAACACCGATTAGGAGCCTGGTTTTGAGGATGAAACCGTCATCAATCAATCCTTGTGATATGAATTTATCAATCTCTAGTTTGCATCTTCACGCACAATGCGCAGTTCATCCATTCAGGGGTACATTAGGTAAGCTCTCAACTCGGGACTCGCTCTCATCAGATCTCCTCAGCATTATATATCCCGTATCCATCGCATGAGAGGTCTGTGTGCAAACCAACTCCCATTGGGCTGAACCGAATTGCTAATGCATGACTATCCAGAGAAAGCGTATCATTTAATTTTGGCCAGAAAACACTATCTTTGCTCGATGGTACTTGCGACATTAACTCGGATTTTCCTACGCATCACCATCAAACGAGCCTCGCGATTCCTTGCACAGCTGAAGCACAGCTCAGAAACAGGATGAATATGCACGCAGGTACAACAGTAAAAGCAAGGTCCACATGTCTAACGAGAGCAGATACATTGAGAACGCTATAGGGGAAAAACCGAATTCTCACGCATCAGTGCGTTGCAGCGGTTGATTAAGAGGTTGAGCAAACAAAGTGAAATTATGAAACACGCGACGCACAAAAAGGAACAAAGTGAAGTTTCTGAAGAGTTATCCATGGTGCTTTAAGCTAGTAAACGACACAGCTTAAACAGTAGTATTTTTTCTTCAGATGGTGGGTTATTCACTTATGGAGTCTTATTTTTACTTCACGTGCACGAACATAGCCCATCGAGCCAGATCGATAAATTCCGGGTTTTATCCAATTTTTGCAAATGGAATACAATTTTGAAAGTGAACGATTTCTTTCGGTGCATCGATCACAAACCTGTAAGCATCATATGAACGGTAGATATTTCAGGACTCTGCTTCTCATTCGAACAAAAGTCGAACCAGAGTCTGACCGGGGGTGAGTGATGTTAACCATTGAGTTGCTTCCCTTTTGCAGGTTCTATCTATTCCGCGACTGCAGGTTGTGAAGGAGCTGTGTTCATCTAATCACGTCTTTCTGCGCGGTTGCGAGGATCACTAGGGATAGGGTAAATCACGAAGATGGTCGATTCAAATTTTCCGAGCCGATAAATGAAGTTCCACATAACACAGGGCTGAAAAAGTTATTGGTAAATTCATCGCACTTTAAAATACTAACCCTTCATGAGTGGTCGGAATCCCAGAAATGAATATGCACTTCTGATGCTTCCAGAAAATTCAGATAAATGTCTTTTCCATGTCTTTCCATGATTGGCACACCAACATTGAATAGAGAACATGTTTGCATAATCAAACTAATCTCTCAAAGCTCTTGAAATCAGTATCGGATTTTGTTACCGTTTCCCAACTTCAGACATACGATTTGGACAAAGATGGTCGAATATCCAAAGAAGATTTCGTCAACGTATCCACAAAGGTGGGTTATATTCGCTTTCCCATTGAGCACAATTACTAATCCGTTTTTGCCCTCTCTTTC